ATTATTATAAAATTTGTATAGCGCTAATTACGAAAACAAAAACGTTTCTAAAAAGCACTGTCTAAAAGAGAAGAAATAAACATTGCCACATACGGAGACAAAAAGCTTAAAACTTCACATTCAAGTGAGATCAGAAACAGTTGTATTGCTACGATAAACTAAATCTTTATAACAAAAAAGGAAAATGATTTCAGCAATATCTCGAATGATCTTTCTGTCATTTCGGTCTGATAACTAGATACCTAGATAACTCGGTAGACTATTCCAGACAGTTGGTCCACATACTGAGAAACTTCTCTTCACCATCCTCAAATTGGTTTGTGGCACGCAAACAAATTACTGTCACCAGACCTTAAGCAAACTGCCCTAGAAGACAGTTGTTTCAGTATATACATTCTTTCAAATAAACTGGCGCCATTCCCTTCGTACATTTAAACATGATTGTTGATATCTTGAACAAAATTCTTTTTTAGACGGTCAACCAGTGAAGTTCTCTCAATTAAACATGGGGGTAACATGGTCAAAGTTTTTTGCCCCAACTACCATCCTTGCTGCCCGATTCTGAATTGGCTGAAGAACAGATAACGATTTTTCTGGCAAACCATCAAATAGACTGTTGCAGTAATCCAGTCTAGAATGGATAAACGAATGCACCAAACTTTGAATAACATCTTTGGTTAAACTTCTACGGATTATTTTTAATTTTTGCAGCTGTAGGGTTGCGGTTCCAGATCAAAACTTGACACGTTCAGTTATTGACGGCCTAGAATTGAAAATGACACCCAAGTATGTAGCTTTGGGAATGAAGTTTATAATTGAGCCTGCAATGATAGCCGAATAAAAATTTCTCCCAGACAGTTGTTGCCAAGTTTCAATCAGAAGTGCGTTTTGCTTTGATTAAGTTTGAGACAATTATCTACCATTAATTTCTCGATCTCGAGCAAACATTTAACAAAAAGATCAACTGTACGATGACACTTGCCGCAGGATTCTGTGGCAAATAACTGAATACCATCTGCTGATGCATGGCTCTTCAATACGTGTAATCTGATTACCTCAAAAATTTCAGAGGTGTACAGATTAGACAAGATTCAGATGTATGTTTGTGTGTGTGTGTATGTGTGTGTATGAGTGTGTGTGTGTGTGTGTGTGTATGTTGGTGTATTCACATGAATGTATGAGTGTATGTGTTTGCGTGTCTACGTGTTAGTATCGGTAGTATCGGCATACCGGTTCCGTCGGTACATCTCCGTAAAAGATTCGGACCGACCATCAGGGCGATGTCCCTGGCGGTCATCCTGCTATCCGGCGAGTCGGCGATAGCTGCCAGGACGAAGAAGAGATGTTCCAGCATTATTTGGTTGTGATCAGGTAGGCTGGCTATGTTGCTGTTGTTGTTGTAGGTGGTGGTGGTGATGATGACGGTGGTGATATGCGTGGTGGTGATGATGATGATGATGTAGATGGTGATGATGATGATGATGCTGTAGATGGTGGTGATGATGATGATGTGGGTGATGATGATGATGATGTGGGCGATGATGATGATAATAATGGTTATGATTATGGAAAAAGAAGAGGAAGATGATGATAATAATTCTGATATGATGACTACGAAACAACAACAGCATCAACTTCATCAACATCAACAACAACATCAACAACAACAACAACATCATCAGCAGCCACATCATCAACAACAACAACATAAACAGCAACAACGGCAACAACAACAACAACAACATTAACAACAACAACAGCTTCAAAAATCCAACTCTCTGATAATGAAGGCACTCTTTTTCTTCTTCATATCAACCTCCCACTTGGCACAGAGCCATCCACCCAGCACACTATTCGGTAGGTGGTTGAAGAATTTCTTCCGGGAAAAATATTATATCGTAATTTATAATAATTATATTATTATTTATTATTAATATTATTATTTGTAAATATTATTATTTATTATTCTTATTATTGTTGCATAATATTATTTGTTTACTGCCATTGACACCAAGACTCCGACCAATAGCAAGTAAAATTAAAATGAACTAAATGAAAATTTTAAAAATTCTGACTGCTCAGCCAAGAAGCGATTAAAAAACGCCTGACCAATAGCAAGCAGTAGTGTAAAAAAATTCTGACCAATAGCAAGTAGTTATGTAAAAAATTCTAACCAATAGCAAGCAGTTATGTAAAAAATTCTGACCAATAGCAAGCAGTTATGTATAAAGTTCTGACCAATAGCAAGCAGTAGTGTAAAAAATTCTGACCAATAGCAAGTAGTTATGTAAAAAATTCTGACACCAATAGAAAATACTTATAGAATTAACTGACCAATCGAAATCAATGTTTAAAAAATTTGACCAATAACAAGCAACGAAAAAACCAACCAATAGCGTGGAGTTACAAAAACAAACCGGCCAATATCGAACAATTACAAAAATAAACCGACCAATAGCGAGTAATTATAAAAATCAAGCTGACCAATAGCAAGCGGCCGATCGTCAAAATGGGGATTTCCCTGAGATTCACAGAGAGGCCCAAATTGAGTCTGAGAAGGGTCGTCTGGTAGATATCTTCGGGGCCCTCCAGCTCAAAAATTCTCTCCGCTGTTACCCCTTCTACGTATAATCTTTCTAGCATCAACTGAATTTTGTTTGAAGGAGAAAGGGTAATAATAATAATAATAATAATAATTTATAATAATATAATATAATAATAATAGTTATAATAATGACAACAATAATAATATTAATAATAAAATTCGACCTTCAAATAATCATTCATCACGTTGGCCCCGTCGAAAAACCTCCCCAGCTCAACTCCTAAAAATACCCCAGGGAAAAACCCTGGTCATAATTAAAAAAATAATAATAATTATTATTATTATTATTATATAATCATCATCATCATAATAATAATAATAGAATGATAATATAAATAATTATGATAATTATAGGTATAATTATTATTGATGTACCCTCTGGGAGCATTTTGACATAGTCACGGTATGTAAGGTACTCGACTGTGTAGGGGTAGAGGTCGATGAGGGACTCGACTACTATTCGCGAGTAGGGGCAGTACCTACAATGATGGTGGTGATGATGATAATGATGATGACGATGAAGATGATGATGATGGTGGTGGTAATGATGATAATTATGATGATGATGATGATAATGATGATGGTGATGATGATAATGATGATGATGATAATTATGATGATGATAATGATGATAATTATAATAATGATGATGATAACGATGATGATGACGATGATGACGACAACGATTATTATAAAATCAACTGATTGATTGAATGAATGAGTAAGTGAATTAATAACTGAATGAATTAATTAATGATCAAACGAATGTATTAACGAACTGAATGAATGTATGATTGGATTAACGAACGAACGAATGAAGGAATGTATGAATGAACAAACGAACGAATGAAGGAATGTATGAACGAACGGACGAATGAATGAACGAACGAACGAACGATTGACGAAATGAATGAATAAACAAAATGAATGATTGATTGAATCACACCTGCTTTCTTTCGTTTTCTCATCAGCTGTCTCTTGAACCGGTTGTGCCGGCTTCTTACCGAATACGCCGAATAAACCGCCAGACGTCGGTTCATCTATCGGTACTCCTGAGATAATTATAACAACAAAATTATTACACATCACAATTATAACTAT